GAAATTTCGAGGAAACTCGACTACAGTGCGCTTCGCATATGCACAGATTCAGCATTGTGGAACCTGCTGTATTATTCTGGCTATCTTACCATGGACCAAAACAATGAGCTAAGCATTCCCAACAAGGAAGTATTATCAGAGTGGTATGATTGGCTACAGTTAGAAGGCAAAATCTCTACAACCTGGCTTTTTGATTTGTTGATGCGAGGTGACCTTACAAAGTTTAATAGGGATTTGTCAGAGACAATCATGAACACACTATTATATCACGATGTTGCAAATGCAAAAGAGGCTGTTTACCACCTTTTTCTAGCTGGTCTATTTGCTCAGGCACAATTTTCTGGCTATGAAGTCAAATCGAACAGAGAATCGGGTTTAGGACGTGTTGATATTAGGATTGAACCAAAGAGTACTGCACCGATTCGAACGATGGCCATCATTGAGATAAAGAGGATAGCAAGAAACAATGATGATGAGGAATATCAAGATGAGGATGAAGAATCTGTGGATGAGCTGCTGAAAAAGGCAAAGGAAGGTTTTGAGCAGATAGTAGCATGCCAGTATTCCCAAAATATTCCTGCACATTCAGAGCGACTTGTCGAGTGTGGTATCGCTTTTTGGGGAAAGGAATGCATTGTAGTAGGTAGAGTTTCTGAGAAGAAAAGTGAGCACTGGGAGTTGGTTTATCAGTCTGAGATGTTGTGATTGGTGAATGCACTACTTTTCCGCCTCTTGCTTTGAAGTATGAAAAATTTTGATATTGGACACAAAATGTAATGATTAAATTGAATGCTTTACACAATCGTTTTTGTTCTAACAAGAGGTATTTTTAGATATGAACCCAAAGTATGGTGCCGAAATGTCAAAAAAATCAGTAGTAGTAGCCCACCAAGGATAGCTATGAGGTGTAAAAATTTGATATGCAAAAAAAGCACCCCTAAGCATGTAAACTAGAAAATTTGTGTTAGTGCACAGTAGCAGTAGTCCAAAGCAAAATAGTATTGGTACGTATATAAGTAAAAAAATCAACTTAATGACATAATGATTACAGTTTATTTTCTAGGCTGTGCATTGACAAACTATTATGAGCAGAGTCTATAAACTTTCACATGGCAAAAAAAACTGCATCAATATACAGTAGATGATTACTGGTATGAATCAATCAAATAAATGAAATTCTGAATCATTCCGGGTAGTGCAGAATAGAATTAGGAAAATATCAAGGGAGATACAACCAACTCTCGTTATAAGAATCTCGTTTTGCAACATATGAAAATGCCCCAAAAATGTTTATAGCGGGAGGCACAGATGAGACATTTTCAATATGTAATGGTAATGAGAAATCTGTCTCAGAGTTCTGGGTTCTTATAACGAGAGTATTCATATGATAAGCAGGCGTTCTTATCAATTCTTAACTATAACGTTAAAGATATACTGCAACATGTAGAGTATAAATTTAATGTGCTAAAATAAATATATAGGATTACCCGTATATGAAAAATAGTCAATATAGTAGTTCAACTGAATACGAAAAAGCAATCCGTTTCTTAGAGTTAGGTTGCAATTGTGGTTGCTCAAAAACGATTTCGAAAGAAGGGTTTGCCGAATTACGTGAGGCGTTTCAAGCTCTTTCTAGATCCGAACAAGATATATTTTTAATGGCCCAATTGAAAGCGATGAATGGCGGAGAAATAACTGCCAGCCGACGTCTTAAAAGAAAACGCGTACTAATAAGCGAACTTTTTATTATTGAGATCGTAATACAGCTCTTTGTCAGAAAACGTATCTTAATATGTTAGGAATTGGTCGCACGCATTTCGAAAACGTTAGAAATCACTTGGCGACGAATGGTGTAATACCGCGCGTTCATGGTAATGTAAAAAAGGTACCGCGATGGATAACTATTGATATAAACGTTGCTACCGCCGTTAAAAATTTTCTTGAAAATTATGCTGAAATACATGGATTACCAAGTCCGGGTAGAAATGTCAATCGCATTACTCAATCGCTTATACTATTGTCAGCCGAAACGAGTTATAAATCGGTCTCCGTGATTTATTGCAGGCCTCGAAAACGATAGCACGTTGAAATTGTTAAAATACGACGCGTTTCGCAAGTTATGGCACCGATTAACACCTTACATTCAAATTATGAGTCCAAGAACGGATTATGTGACACGTGCCAACATTTTCGGAACGGCTTACAGTATAATGCTCGTAAGGAAGAAAAAGCGAAAGATTTACTGAAAAAATTCAAAGAACATCTAGTTAAAGCTAAATTAGAGAGAAACTATTACAACAAAAATACGAAATTAGCAGAACAACAGAGGAAATTGGTAAATGAGCATTTTATAACAAGAGGCAAAGCTGATTATTGTAGTATTGACGCGATTGCTCATTACAGTTACGATTGAGCACAAAACGTTCACGTGCCCCATTCCGATCAACAGGTAAGTAAAATTTATTATCTCAGTCCACGGAAAGTGCATTTATTTGGTATCCAAGATGAAGCAGTACGCGAACAAATTAATTACGTTCTTGATGAAAACGAAATTATCGGTAAAGGCCCTAATGGCACACTAAGCATGGTATTCGATGGAATTAAGAGATTGAATAAAGGCGAAAAACATTTAAAGATTACTTGTGACAATGCAGGTGGTCAAAATAAAAACAATGCCACCATTTGATTTTATCTGTATTTGGTAATTTGTGGTTATTATGAAAGTATCGAATTAAATTTTATGATACCGGGACATACTAAATTCAAATGTGATGTAGTTTCGGACTGATTAAGAAACTTTACCGAAAGACGACAGTGGATTGTGTAGACCATATCGTTGAGGTTGTGAAAAAATCGAGCACCGCGGGATTAAACAAGGCTCAACGCTATGACAATGGACAAGGTTTTCAGTACTTAGATCTTAATTCTGTATTGGGAATTTTTTTTAAAAAATTGAATGGTTTACAAAAATATCAGCATTTTCTCTTTGAAGCAACTCATCCAGGAGTCGTCAAAGCTCAGCTGGTTGCTAATGGTTCGTATACTGAATTTAATTTATTGAAAATTAGAAAAGCAAGTGTTTCTGAAATTATCAAAGAAATTAAATTTTTTTCTATTTTAGTTCTAACTCCGTCTCCTTTGGATTACAAAAGACAAGAATATCATAATATTCGCCCATTTGTTAGAGATGAATTTAATGTCCCAAACCAATCTATACTGAGAATGAATAAAATCATTTTAGTCAACCGCACATTTTATTAGTTTATTGGTTTTGTTGTTTTTATTACTATTAAATTCTTTATATTTAATCTTTTAATATTAAAATAATAATATAGGAATTAAAATCATGACAAATCAAAACAATATTTTAACTGAAGAGGAAATAAAAGAACTAATTGGTAGTTTAAACCGAAATCCAAATGAGGCCGAGATAAGAGCAGTTACAGATTACTTTCAATTTCGCCCTTATGCCTTAAAACACTTAGAAGACAAAGAATTTAGAAAAAGTCTTGTTTATCTTATTTACATGCATCAAAATGCACTTTCTTGATGAGTAAAAACTGATAAAGAAGTTAAAGGTTTACAATCCTTAACAACCAATTTAGAGAAAGAGAAGAATGGATTGCTTGAAAAAACTAAGCAATTAGAAGCAGAACAAAAAGTCTTGGAAGAAGCATTAGAATTAGAGGAAAATATTTCTAAATGCCATTTAGATGCTCTCAAAGTAGCTAGACAATGGAGAGTGAGGCAAAGCAAAGAAAAAGATGACAACTTAGAAAAGGCTTCAAGAAAAATAGAGATGCTAGAAAATGTTGTGGCATGGCAGAATTTTTTAACAAACAAGCAATTTCAAGAACTGCCAACTTTGCCAAAGAAACAAAACAAATTTAAACTCTTAACTAACAAAGTAAAAAGCAGAATTAAGCAAGCAAAAGCAATAACTGAAGAGAAGTTCAACACTTACATCTTACAAAAGGATAAATAATGAAGTTAGGATACCAAGCTATTGAGTTAAGAAGAG